CTCGAATTATATTTAATTCAATATTAAGCGCGGTGCGCTAATTGTTAAGTAATGTGGCACTATTGTATATCTCGACTTATATTATTATTTTCAAAAATATATTGATAGCCTCGTTCTCACTTTAAGCATATTACTTTTGTGCTTAAAATATAATTTAAGAAACCTTTTTGTTTTACAGTTAAATGTAGACAGAAATTAATAATATAATTGTTATAATATTACGATAATAATTCTTATCGTAATAATTTATATCGAAATACATTATTTTGAATGTAAAAGGATTATATCTGATAAAGAGTAAGAAAAAGTTGTGTGCCAAAAAAGATCATATGTTCTACATGTACGTATATTTGATATATTAAATATCAGAGGAAGAAATACAATTGTGCCATAAATACAATTTGATCTGAAATAAGGCCAAGTGTTTTTTAAAATATTTTGTAACTTGTTATTCTGCAGAATGTAAAAGGAACATATATAGGTAGACAATGGTACAGACAATGAATTGAGAGAAATATACCTACATAAATGGACAGAACTTTCCCAACAATGTTATTACGATTTCTTGTTCGTTCGGATCAAGAAAAACAATCATGACATAGAAAGTTGTTGAATTTAAAGCCAATTTACAATTGTAGAACTGAACGTAAAATAATTGATTATACGAAAATAACTCGAAGACATTGCTTCTTAATACTAAATCTCATCTTTTATTAATGCTGACATGCTTGCAATTGAACATATAATTATGCTAACATATTGTTTAATCGCCCCATTTATTTTTTCATGTTTTTTTAACTTTATATTAGATATATTTTGTTTGCATATTCTATTTTTTAATCAGTACAATTTTTTAAATATGTTATATTTCTTAAATAATTTATATAATTTAAATATGTTTTTAAATAATTCTATAAGAAGGAAAAAAAGTATTAAATATTAATTTTAATATATTTATACTTTCTGGTAGTGTCAATTTTTATTTTTTTAAGTATGCATTTATAAAATACAAATATTCAATCAAATCAATTAATGAAATTTGACTACATTGTCTAACAATAAGAGTCTCTGGTTTTCTAATATAGTGTCCGTCTTCTAATAATTTTATTAAAATACTTAAATAAAGAAGAAATAAGTTTTTCTAACAAAAAGTATAGTAATTTCAAATACATGCCACTCTTATTGCGATACTCATAGAAGACGCATAGAACTTGTATGAAGCTCATTGTCAAAACTCGTCTTTCGAATTTCTCTCTTGTTTAGCGCAGTTTGTTTAAATTGAAAAGCAAAAGAGAACTCTTGCGTGTGAAATATTGCCGCAATTTCGCGGAAAGCGCGCGGTCGAAGGTGGCTTTAAGAATACGCACGAGATGGAAAGTGAGTCGTTTTTAATGAAAGAAATAATTTATGCCTTAACTTAGAAATTTTTTGCTTCGGTATATATGTATTTCGCAGCTCGTAAAATCTGTGCTTGAACTATTTTTTTTTTGCATATTTGACTCAGAAAAATATTGCACATGATGATGATTGCACATTTTGGTGATTGATGGTGATTATCATAAAGTAATAATGCATTCTATAGCATTTTGTTAAATTTTTGTGCGTGATTACAATTAAATAATATACGCCTTAAATTTTTGTTGTTAAAAGATAAGATAGTTGAGTTTAAAATAAGTAGAAAATAAAAAAGAGGATGTTTTATTTTTATAGGTATCATTTTTTTACAATCTCTAAAAGTATTTATAATAAAACTGAAAATTGCATATTTCTTAGGAGAAAGTGAACTTTTGGTTTCTTTTATATACGCGTGAATCTCTCGATTAATATATGTAGACCTTAGATCACGACACATGCTTTAATAATTTAATTTAAAGCGCAGATTTGTGATATTTTTCTTACTAATTATACGCATATATTTTATTTCAATTCTGTCTCGTTCTTAATACAAATATTTTCGCAACCGGCAGACAATTTGCAAGAAAATTCCCAGATTCTCAGATTATTGATACTAAATAATGATGCTAACGTATCTTTGCTTATATACATAAAAAGCGTTATTAATTATTAACATATGCAGTTTTGCATGCTCTATCAAGTAAAAAAATATTAAAAACGTATAAAAATTTAAATTTAAATTGATCGAACACTGCGCACAGTTGCAATTCATTGCGCAGGAAAAGAACAAGACTGGAAGGAAATTAAAATGGAAAAATCAATGAAAAAAGAGAACCACCAATTTAACGAACGACAATAATTTTATGCTTGAACATGGCTGTACGAAGAAAAGAAAGGGAACACCCTATCAATACTAACGAAGGTGCTGAAATCGGCGACCTCGTATAATACGAAGCAGTGAACAAGATCATAGATACTGCGGATGGCAATTCGCTTTTATGGCTGTACTCTGGCAGAGTCTACCTAAATTTCCGTTATTACCTACCATTGGAACTACGTGAAAAATTGTTGACTTAGTTGATAATAATGAAAAAAAGGAGAAAAAAAATTTTTTAATAAATAGTCGAAAATATACATAGCAAGGAAAAAAATACAACTGCGCTCTTGACTTCATGAATTCTGTAATTAAAAATATTTTGTTATACATATATATAAATGCAAAGATTATACATTATAAAATTCATAAAACAAGTATATAATTTACCAAAAATGTCCAAAAAGAGCTAACAATATTTATTCCATGTTAACAGGCATTGCATCGCTATAATTAAGTAAACATTCATATTTTTCTTTGTCTCACACATTAGCACGAATTGTCTTTTGGAAATATTGATAGATAAGTATAACCATTTGGTGTCTCGGCAAACATTGTATTTCATATGCCTCATTCAATATTCGGTTTTCTACAGTAAATAACACAACATGTCGATGCACTTTGCATATGTCATGTCGAAGAAAAACATCATTTGCATTTCCACTGTATTCCACCTTCTGTTATGTATCTGATGCGCAGCGCAATGTGTCACTTTGTTCGCGGTAAATATGTTTGTTCTCGCGGCATATCATATTGCGAATGAAACTAGTACGTGGTTACATGATAATTCATGATTTCATGCGTCAACATATGATTCACATCCTCTCTCAGGAGACGGAACTCGGTGACTTTGATGTATTGGCAAAGATTTGACTAAGCACATATAGAATATTATCAAAAATATAAGATATATGCAATCATTACATCAATTTAGTACTCTTAATATATTTTAATTTGTTTAAATTTATTACATATGATATTTTATTAATAATTATTTTATCGGCATTCTTCGAATTCTGCATAATGCATTTGCAAAGATTTGCACACATGATTTTATAAAAAGAATATAATATATATAGCGATGTACGCACATTTATTACTTGAATTAATAATTAGAAACACTAGGATTTTTTAATTTTTAGGCAATTTCTTTATATTTAATGAATAAAATATTGTAACTTTTTTACTTATAATAGATACTTTACTTAATAGATACTCGAGTTGGCCAATTTTAAAATTAACTACGTGACAATAATCTTAAGAATATGAAAACGTATTTACAAAATTATTTAATAAAAATTTAATTATTTGAATGCAGTTTCTCTGTATAAAAAAATTGAGACTTTTAATTATGTGATCGCACAATATATTTTGTTGAGTTTTGCAAAAATAGTTCTCGATTAAGTACGAATTTTAAAACGAAAGGTTTAGCCAGTTATAAAAGTAGATGACTCTCTTTTTACATAATATTATAACAAAAATACACGTTTTGTGAAAAAAAGATTACATGAAAAAGTACATACAAATAATCGATCGATACATATAGGCATAATGTACATACATTATACGTATACCACGATATACATACATATTCTGTTTTTCTTTCTCTTAACTTTTACTTTACTCATGAAATATACACAAGTGAATGATGTAGATGTTTACATAAAATCTTATAAAAAGCTAAGAGTTACGATGCATACGTGGTAGTTTATAGTATTTCAGCATAATAAATTTTGTATATAACGTCAACAATATGTGAAATAAAATATGCAACTTTATTATAATTAAAATATCATATGGTAATCAAACATCAACATTATTTAACTTTGGCTTCTTTTACAAGAAATTTTGCTTTATAAAAATACGAACTATCATAACTGATTTGTAACGGATTTAGTTATTTACATCATCTTATTTCCTCGCGAAGTTTTCGCTGCCAGATCAATTAAGACGACACTCTTTTGCTATTTATACAGTTGCATTTCATTCAAACTGATCGTGACATCACAACTTCCAACGATATATAGTTACCTAATAATCAATTTTTGCAGTGTGACTGTCTTAATTAAATAAATTATTATTTTATAATAATTTTTATTATATTATTTGCAATACTTTACTCTTTTTTATATCTTATTTTAAATTATATATATATATATATTTTTAAAAAAAGACTAGTAAAATATTTATCTTTTGTATAACTAAATCACAAATTTAATTACAAATTCGAGAGAATTGCAAATATTAATAAATATTATTTTTATTTTTATTTTTACATTTAAATTATGATTATATTAGTATTTTCTTATTAATTAGTAAATATTGTAATGTCATAATTATTTTGATAATTTTATATCGTTATTTGTGAGTCATGCTTAGTAATCAATTAACAATTTGAATGGGAGCTTTTCCGAACATTTTTTTATGTACAACACGGTTTAAAACGGTATTACTTTAAAATTTCAAACATTTTTAATATTAAAATTTTGCATCACAAAATATAAGCCATACATAAATATCTTATGTCATACACTTGCTGACATTAAGCAAAGACGTAAACGATAATATAATCAAATCTGGATCCTATTTCACGAAATGGCTTTCTATCATATTTTTATGATCTATTTTTTGTTAGTAAATAGAACGCAATTACGCAGATCGATAGAGTGATGTATGCGTGTATAAAAATCATTTTATCTATTTTTATAGAAACATAATTTTATAAAATGCAACTCGTTGTTATTTATTATTTTATGAGAAAAGCTATACAATAATAGAAAATCACAGTTAAATGGAATGTATAAATCGCTCATTAGAAATTTACAATTGCGAGATGATAAAATTATGAATAAAATTGTTATACATTATTTCATCATAAATACCGTTCTATTAAGAAGAATCAAAGAAAATGATCAAAATTTTTCTCGTGTGGATTACAAGTATGTTAAAAGCAATTTCCTCTCGCGTATTTATCTTTTATAACATAAAAATATTTTTCAAACACACGATTGAATTCTGCTTTAAGAAACGATTCTTAGGTAAGCGCAATCAATCGCACGTACGAGATCGATCATTTCTTATTCGACCCATTCGGCGGCGTGAGCGCTTACGGGATGTAATTACATTCTCAATTCGAACACGTGCTATATATTATTATGCATCGATATATGCGATGCATATAGCACGTACATGGAGTATAAGTTGTGGCATAGTTTTTCGTCTCAAATCAAGACGCGGAAGGTTCTGTCGTGTGTGGATTCTTTTCTTCGCCACGTCTTTCCCATGTGTTGATTCTTTTTAGCGGATAACAAATCACAGCTGATAAGAGAATCAAGCTGCCTGAAAGGTAGAACGAGGCGTCGTAACTTCCGGTCGCATCCATGAACGCACCTGTTTACACATATATGAATATCATTTGGATGAATTAATGTCGAACTTTTGTGATTTATAAGTTATTATCATAAGCGACGATTTATAAGCTGGATCGATGCATACAGAGTGTCTGAAAATATATACAAGTAGATCTCGTTATTTGGAGACGATTTTTCCTCAGCAAAAATATCGAGGGAGGCCGTCATTTTTCGCATGTTCCTATAATTTTTGCCATCATGTATCTTTATAACTAAATCTTAAATTAAAATTTTATTAAAGTAAACTCTACTTGAAATAAATTGGAAAATGTGGTTTTGTTATTATTTTATTTTTGGCTTATTGTTAGTTTGCGAACAACTCTTTATTTTCAATCGCTTATAACTCGAAAATTATTGATGCCTCAATATTTTTGCTGAAGAAAAATTGTCTTCGAATAACAAGATCTACTTGTATATTTTCGATGTGACATCTTATGTCAGACACCCTGTGTAAATAATAATGAATAATTTTAATGGCGTAAATATTTCCTGGAATCGGTCGATATCGTTGTCAGATAGAAATGTAAATCAGAACTATTTCTACCAACTAAAGTAGACTTTTTGTGACGTTGTTTACGAATACTTCGAAGAATGCGATTGGTATAATTATAATCACCTGCGAGAGGTGCGCCAACAGTCGCTGCCACTCCTTGAAACAGAAGAAGAAGTCCAAAAGCGTTTGTTAGTTTTTCTAAACCGAGTAGATCCACGACGAGAATCGATCTCAGAGAAGCGAAGACAGCTAAAAAAGATATATTTTTGCGCAAAATTTAATAAATATAAAATTAAAATTAAATCGGTGTAAAAATTTAAAATCAAAAAATAGTAAATCAGATTAGATATAAAGGATGTATCTACACAAGATTCATATAGGGAAAATTAAAGAGAGCTCGCATATACTGCTTACATATACTGAGACCAAAGCTGGCTGCATAAAAGAACTGATATCCCTCCGTCAGAGAAATGCCGGAGAATATTGTGACTAAACCGCCGACGCTAATAAACGTATTATTCACTACTAGAGCATTAACTCCAGGCAAGCTGCTTGCTAAACCACAAACGATACGACCGATAGTATTACCGATACCAATCACCGAAACGAGGAACATTGCCTTAGAAGCATCGATGTTAGCTTTTATGGCTCGATCTACAAAGATAAAAAAAATTTTAACAAATATTTATTTATTTTTTAATAAAAGAAGTAACGCCCCGGGAAAAATTTTTTATATATAATTATATATAAATAATTGTATAATTATACAAATAATCGTAAAATTATATGAAATGTGTTCATTTTTATACATAATTATTTTATATATAAATTATGAGTTTATATATAATCATGTCAAATTATATATGAAACATTTATATTTATATATATGAAGAAATACTTATTATATACATATATATATATATATATATATATATATTTATATGTAATTATATATAAAAAGCATTTTTATCTAATTATATATGGACATATTTCATATATAATTTTGCGATTATATGTGTATAATTTTATATATTTCTATATAATTTTATATTGTTATATATAAAAAATTTTTTCCCGGGGCACAAAATGAAATATGTTACAGAAATAGGGTATATTTTACTTTGAAAGTTCTCTTGAAAATTATATGTTTTTAAACGTGATTATAAAGCTACAGAAGAACAAATATTATTGATCATTTGATCGTACCTGGCACGTACATAAAAGGCGTATAAAAGCCCATCATGGTGAGACCGCCAGAAATCGCTAGTATTATAAAGGTAGGGCTTTTTAGAAGACTTAAATCGAGCATTGTGGTCAGAATTCGTCGTACACTTTCCGGACATAGGTAGCAATTTCCACTCTCCTCTTCCGCCACATCCGTCGCCGTCGGCAGTCGCGTCACTGACATGTGATAACCGACCGATGATTGCTGCAAAATTTTAAGTTTTTTGATAATACAATTAAAATGTGTCTTTATATACGAGATTGCAGATTTATTGACGCTAATTTAATTTTAATTTAATTTAATACATTATTTTTTGTTTTTATACTTATTGTTAATATTAGGAAAGAACAAAGTAAACTTTATTTTGTAAAATATTATATCATATAATATTTTACGAGAAGAATTGAATGAAATCTTTATTACCTGCGATCTGTAATGAGAAAGTCTATTCAAAGAGCCGCCATAAAAGATATCATCTCTGTAAAACGGTCTCTGTGGATCTTTTGGATTTCGTTTGCCCATTCTAAGAGATTTCTGACTGCATTCCGAATCTGTTCGAATGCGTCTGGCGCTAACCGAATGTCGACGAATCTAAAAAAGAATAAAATACAATATATTTGTAGTTCCAAAATAATTTCAAATTGGAAAATATATTCTTCTTATCTGATAATAATATTTTATATATATCAAAAATCTTTTCGTAAGTTATATACATATAAAAAAAACAGAGATGTTGGCAAAAATAAGTCATTCACGAGACTTGGAGGATTTTCTAGGTCATCGAATATTTAAAACTTCGAAAATGTTACATTTTCGTTTCTGGACATGTTCGTTTCTAGGAAGTAAACATAATTACTTTTTCTTGTACATCCATATATTTTAGATATCCTTTACTTCGAAAACAACAAAAGAGAAGAATAAAATTCTCGAGAATCTAAATCAACGAGTTTGCACCAAACTCGATATAAATTTGAAAATTTCGTAGATGTTTTAATTCGTCAATTAGTTTTGCATTATTAGAAAATCTTTAATTATATATATATATTCTATTAAAATCAATTACTATTGTATATTCAATGAATTAGATGAATAATATATTTATAATATATAACCAGTTAATTTCGGCTTACAGTTAATTGCAAATTGTTCGCTTTTACAGTGTTTAAATTTTTCCTTAAGACACGTACGCACATATATATATAGGGTGTCCCAGAACTGGCGGAAAAGTTTTTAATGGCAGATTCCTGGTATCATTTGGAGACGATTTTTCCTTAGTGAAAATGTTGAAACAGACCATCATTTTAGCATGTTCCCAATTTTTCCTATTATGTACCTATTATGACCTTTATAACTAATTGTAAGTCTTATATTAAAATTCTATTAAAACAAACTCTATCTAAAATTAACTGAAGAATGTAGTTCTGTTAATTTTTATTTCCACAAGGCTTAGTTTTCAAAAAGCCTTTATTTTCAACTGCTTATAATTCGAAAATTATTGGTGTCTCGACAGTTTTGTTGAGGAAAAATCGTCTCCGAATGATACCAGGAATCTGCCATTAAAAACTTTTCCGCCAGTTCTGGGACACCTTGTATATTGATGTTACCGTCGGTACTTTTCCGTTTAGCCGTTCCAAGTCGCCGCTGAGCAGATTGTTCTCTTCGGCTATCTTTTCTTCGTTATTTACAACGTCCAAGTCGGGATATATCGGTGCGGATAGCCGTTTCTCCGAAGTGCTCACTTTCCTTTCTAAAGTCTGTGTCTCCACGTGCACCTTGTGCAGCGAATGCAAGGACTTGGACGCGCTAAAACAGAAATTGATGAACCCCCGTGACAGTGTGATGAGATAAAAGAAACAATTATTGTCATATATAAAATATGGATCTTTTGTTTATTACTTTACTATATTAGGGTTACTTCTGAAAAGTTCCGCCGCCGTCGGATATTCCGTGTTATTATTCGTGCCGAAGAAACCGCTTCTGTTCGGTTGCACACAGTGTAATGAGGTCGTCGACACACCCTTTTCCATCAACGTAGTTTTTACCTCGAGTGCGGCGTTTTCCGGGGTGTTCTTCACCTTAATTCTCGTTGGCTTCACAGGACGGAACATTGCGCCGAATATGGCACAATTTAATAACATTCCTATATATAAATCGTTTTTTTTTTATATTATCCATATGTTTATACTAATATTAATATTAATGTTGATATATTGATATATTATATGTATATAACTTCTGAAAAAATATTATTATATATAACTTCTAATATATATAACTTCCTAAAAAAAACCTTTTATATTTTATATTAATATTTTAGTAAATATTAATGTAAATTATAATAAAACGAAAAGGCTCTGATAGCCATGTGAACTTAGCACCCGACTTTTTAAAAATTAATTTTTTAGTACAGAAAATAATTGCATTTTGTTTGTAACAACAATAATAATTTCATTTGTAGTTTCATCAATTAAAAAAATTTTTTTTATATAATTAAAAAGACTGTGCAAGCGGATTTGAGATATCTCAATGTTGGATGCGAGCTCTATTTTTTAATTTTAATTTTTTAATTGATAAAACTACACTAACGAAATAATTTTCTGTATTAAAAATTTTATTTTTAAAAAGTCGGGTGCTAAGCTTACGTAGATCGCACACACCTACGTAAATATCGAGGCACGCATGTATATTCGACATATACCACTTTAAGATCGATATCGATCTATCTCCGCTTAAGATCGATAGGTATACTTGTATGAATCTATCTCCGTTTAAAGTCTTATTTCAACTTGTTAGTTAGAGATATCGCGCTTTGCGCTAATCCTCGAAATTCATATTAATTTTCTATAACTTGTCAGAATTGTAAACATTTATATATGGTGGTGTATATTAAATTTATAGTGACGTTTATATAATTTATAGTGACGTTCACTATAAGACTCTTGTAAATACGTTGACTCTGATTTCATTCTTTTCGTGTTCCTTCTCTCGCGCTCACACACATTTATTTATTTATATATTTCTTTATCATATCATAATAGATTATATAGAAAGAGATTGTTGTAATTAATAAAATTATCTTTGTCCTCTCTTTCTTTTTTTTGGTATATAATTTATTATTTAATGTCTTGTCTTATTCTTTTAAAAACTTTTTTTAAACACTATATATAATATAAAACTCACCTGCTTGAAATAGCAGAGCTCCTCTCCAACCAAAATTTTTTACGAGTATATCTGTGATCGGCGCAAGTAAAAATGCACCGATACCAGAACCACACACCGCGATACCTGTAGCTAAGGCTCGCCATCTCTCGAAATAAAACCCGGTAGTTATTACAGCTGGCACGTATATCAGTCCCGCACCAATACCACCTAAATTTTTCGCAGAAAGTTTTGTCTTAAAGCAAGAATGTTAACATATAAATCTCTAATATTTATGTATGCTTTCTCTAATATTATGCTAAAATATATGATCTGAACGAATAAAGAAATTAAGAATATATATATATATATATATATATATATATATATTCTTGCAAGATTGAATAAAAAAAATAGTAGAAAATATTACATAAAGAAATTGTAAGAAATTTGATGATGGAGACGTTATAGGCAGCAGCGGTAATAAGAAATATGAGATGGAAAGAACTTACCGATAGCTCCATAAGAAATGTAGAGGAATTCGATAGATGTGCTAAAGTACGAGATGACGAACGCGCTGCAGCTTATTACGCTTCCTAATATCGTCACCAGCCTAAAGCCATATCGGTTGGCGAGGGCGGAAACGAAAGGACCTGAAAAAATGATAATTTAATTTACATCAATGGTTCACTTCGCTGATGATTATAAATTTTTAACCTTCAGGTATCCGGTCGAGACATGCAAATCACTTGTTACACTTTTATTATCGATCCGATCCTAATTGACTTTATTTAGGAATATTAATTGTTGTGTATATAGTATATTGATTGTTTGACAATATTAAACGCAACTTACGATTAACAGAAATCCTCGTTAAAGTAATGCAGAAGAAATGTATAAATGTAAAATAACGTATTTCTGAAGCTATTAAGAGAAAAATATTATATAATAAATAAAAATAATAATATTTATTAAGTAGAAAAATATAATTTAAAATATCTATGAATATAAATTTAAACTATTTACATAAATTTAATATTTTTAAATAATGTCGATATAGATATTTTCTACATTTCAAATTGTACATTTTTACTAGTATTGGTCTAGAGCTTATATTATACTTTGATATTATACGATAAATATTGACTAGTTTGATGTAGCATATAGTGAAAAATTGTACTTATATAAAGAAAATAAAATATCTATATACATTATATTAATAATTCTTATAATTTCTCTCGGGGATGTGAGTATATACAAAATTAAATTGCAGAAAATAATTTCTTAAACAATTACTCTTTATCATTACGGATAATTAGCTGCATTTTTGCCGCGCACTCATATAATTCTGTTATGCTAATTACAGACGTCCTATACATGAACATTTCGCAATGTTCTTCATAATGATGAATAAATCATCATCTGCTCCTTTTCAAATCTTAAGTTAGTCATTAGATATTTATTAGAATATAATTAAATATTTAATATTTATGTGAAATGAGATTACTAATTATTGATATCTTTCATTGTTAATTTAAGATTACGATAACTTAAACGCGTTAAACAATGTTAAAAGTATTCGTTACACATTAAATTAAACGCTCAATGGAAAAGTTTCTGCATATTTATTTTTCTGGATTGCACTGCGAAAATCCTTGAGACTGATCATACAAACGGTTACTTATTACGATGCTAATTCTGGTGCAAATACAAGTGTCATGTGCTATTTTATCGATCGACCTGATATGTATCAGGAAGATTCCAAAGGCGAGTTTATTATATCGCTAATATTTTACAAACAAACTTATCAGTTACGTACATTCGGCAGAAACGCAGCTATACTTATCATGTATTTTCAGCGTTTTATATAAAAATAATATATATATATATATATATATATATATATATATATTATTAATAGACTGAATATCTGAGAGATTGATTTATACTTTAGATAAAATAATCTACAATCTTTTATAGAATTGTGAAATTTATGCTTTCTTTGAGATCAAATCACAATATTGAAGCATATATATATATATATATATATATATATATATATATATATATTGCTTCAATATTGTGATTTGATCTCAAAGAAAGCATAAATTTCACAATTCTATAAAAGATTGTAGATTATTTTATCTAAAGTATAAATCAATCTCTTAGATATTCAGTCTATTGCGATTAAATGATATGACATATTTCTTGTATCTTCCGTTCCATTTATGTTTCTAATTTAAGTGTGCAGATGAACTTGAATTAATCAAGATATTTTTGCTTAATTGTCCTGTTATATATTGTAGTTATATATAACACAAACATACGCTATTATGCTGCACTGATAGGGCATATCGTTATGTAAATTTGATAGTCATTTAATCATTATTGCTAGGAAGGAAATACATCTGAAATCTCGTATGTCGTCTAAGCTTATATATGCGTGTATTCTTTATTCAGATTTTTTCTTTGTTAAAATTTTTAATAAATAAAAACTTTTTTTAATTAATTATTGAATTTTAGAATTAATCTAAAATACTTTTCAATTTTTCTTAAAAAAAAATTTTATGTTTTATAATTTTATATTTATTTTGAAAACTAATTTTGAAGTCTTAAGAAAATATAAAAACACGAGTTTGAAACATCAAAGTATGTTATATGGAAAAGTATTATTAAAAATTTGTTGAAGTAAAAGTGCAAATATGAAAATGACATTGCATGTTTTTATGATAAAATTAAATACTATCAGAATCCCTCTCAGCATGTTCTGAGATTAATATCTGAACTTGCTATTAAATGTTATATACATGTCTCTACTAACCAACCATGAGATAAAATCCAGTTTGTAATGAGCCGACGAGCGCGACTCTTGCTTTTGATACGGAAAATGCGTCCGCGATATCATTCAGGAATACGCCAAAGCTGAAGATAATACCGTCGACGAAAAAGTTGCACATGAAAGAGGCTGCGACAATCACCCAACCCCATCCTCCGTCAGGTGGTACCACCATTTCCACTTCGATGGTCTGTTGACGGATACCCAAAAAACTTTTACAGCGATTTATAAGTATCTAGCAAAAACTCATTAGATACGTACTTATCGGAATTATCATACATATTATATAAAATATCAATTTTACAAACAAATTTTACTGCAATTCTATCCTGTTTGAATTTCCAATCTTAATCAAAATATTTTAATTAGAGAGAGTTATATAGACATTTTATATCGGTAATAAGAGAGAATATCAGTAGGAAGATATTATGCATACACATACATTGAATGTTATATTAAATTAAGATAGTAAAAAAAATTTTATTAAAAAATTTTATTAAATAGGTTAATAAATAAAATGCGGATAATAATGCAAAAAAATTAATTTTTATTACAACGTAAAAAAATAAGCAAACGTGACAAAACATTAAGCATTAACATGTATGATGTTGCACATGAGAAAATTGCAGATAATGTTTTTATATGCATATAGTGTGTGTAGGTAATCACATGATAAATAAATTAGAATTTGCAGTGATCCAATTTTTCGAGAAAAATATAGTCAATGAGAACTTGCCTCAGATTTGTGTCGGACGAACATCCGATATAATAATGGAAATTGAAGATCTGTGACTTCTAATTAGTATGGAAATTTTTGCAACTGATGTTCGTTTGTGTTTGAAAGAAAACGAGGATTTGTTAAAATAGCTATTAGCTATATGATGTTTTTAGTTATGATACTAAAAACAATAAAATTAACGAAAATATTTTTTAATATAAATTATTTAAAAATATAAGAAAAGAAATTTAAAGACTGCATTGCTGAAAGACTATTGTAATTCGAATATATTAATTCGATTTAATTTAAATTTAAAAAATTTGTATTTTAAAAAATAGAGTTTAAATATAACAATTACAATATCTTGTTTTTCGATCATCGATTTCTATGCATTATATTACATGCATTACATGAAAATTTAATGAAAATTGTTATATTTATTACTAATATTTATATTTATTAATTTGTGTACAAATTTACAAAATATTTAAATATTTCAATATAATTGACTATAACTTAATATTTAATACTAGTATTCAATATACGATTGATATAATTTAATATTCAATTACGATTAATAATGTTTTTCTTAAAATTAAGAAAAACTTGTTATTAATAATTAGCTAAAAATAATTATATTTTTACGATTTGTGAAAGTTGCATTGTATTTGTATTATCTGCAAAATGTGCATAGTTATTTGATACAAAGCAAACAACAAAGTTAGAACTTTCATACCTCGATCATCAAAAAATTTTAAAGGATGATAATTATTGAGTAAAAGAATTTGCTTTTTGCTTGTTAGAAAATACGATATGATATAATTCAGTCAAGGCGAACTCGTTTAATTTGCGACTGTTTTTTGACATTTCAACATCAACGTTTGCTCGTTTAAAATTCACAAGGTGCTAAGGTCAAGGCCGTTCAGAAAGCAAAAGGTCAGCCTTTAGTATTTCGCCCGTTTCGTGATCCAAAACTTCGAAAGTTATCAATTCGCCGCCAAGCCACGTACGCTTAAAACATTAACTTAAAAGGTATGTTCAAATCTTCGATAGCTTCAATATGAAATAACGTTTCACTTAGCGTAATCTAAAAAAAGATTAAATCGAATTTATGAGACATCAATATTTTTTCTTTTCAAACAAATAAAACGACATAAAATTTTGCAATTAAATTACACTATATGATCATAATTCACAATAGAAAAGAAAGAAAAAACTTGTATCATAACGTTTAACGATCTGAATCGATTAAGTACAAAAGTATAAATAAGAAAAGATAAAATAAATGTGCGATCGAAGAAACGTTTTGAAGCTTAAGAAATGATTTTTTTGAGGATTCTATCGATGAAAGTAATTTCTCACAGTCGAAAACAAAGACTTGTAATCCGGAGAGATCAGTTGTCCATTGTTCGCGTACAAAATGACGTGTACTATCATCAGTCATTCGCGGCATAAAAATCAGACCAGTTTTTTATCGTCGCTCGCTAACGAAATTAAGATAGCGAATGAAGACAGCAGCAGTTCGCGTTGTCAACTTTCAGGCGGATTGATAACGAAAAATTCAATGAGGAATGCGTATCCGCCTCTGGATGACCCACAATGAGACAAGGACTATCGGATCCATTAGTATATGTCGCAAATACGACGATATATCGCGCTTGCAATTTCTATCATATAATATCGTATGTACAACGATCCGCCCGTCACTTTTAACGCGAGTATACTGATTTGCCGGAGCTGTGCAATGCGCGTATAATCGCGCGATGCGTTTTTTTGCAGCTTTTGCATTTCGACGCACGTACGGTGCGCGCGTTACGCGTTGTCGCTCACCTCATCATTGTTATTGTCGTTAATATCCTCGAGCTGCAGCTCCTCGCTCTTGTTGCGACCGTTCTGCTGCGGTTTGTTCACGTCGGAGACTTGCTCTTGCGTTTTGCTAGCTATCATCGTCGACATTGCCGTGACGTTCGGAATTTCTGAAACACATTCGCGTGCGAAACGCTGCTTGAAATTATCCGTTTAACGGAGACAAATTTTAAAAATGCAGTTTTGTATGACCTCGAGGGTTATACAAAAAGTTTACATATTTAAAGCTTACATATTTATGAACATTGAAATTGTACGCTGAAAAAAATTGTTAACTTAACTAAATTTTTTTAACTAAATATTTTTTGTTAATCGAACATAAGAAAATATTTAAATTAAATATAATATATATAATTAAATATATATTAAATTTAACAAAACGTATATTTGACTTTAAATACTAATATATGCTCAATTAACAAAATAGTAATTTAGTTGAAAGGTTTAGCCAAATTAACAAATCTTTTTTTTTCAGTGTATCAAAAATTGTCTTTCTCTTTTTGTCGTTTCCTCTCTCTCAAAATAAAAAAAAAATGTTTACATAGAAACGAAGTATTTAAATGGTTCCACATCAAATATTTTTTTAAATATTGATTTTGAGAAAAATAATTTTTAAAATAATTATGTAGTAACATATATATTATGTTAGGATGTATATGATGAAAAGATACCTATATTATTTGATGTTGTACGATTCCATTAAGAAGGAATAAAAATCAAATAATCAAATTCAATGGTCGCAAAAGTATAACGTGTATTAATATTTAAAGTCAAACTTGTGTATGTCTATGTGTTTGAATATTTTTCATATCATAATACAATTAAACTTGAATAATTCCTATTATACCTATAGCTACATAAATATCTAGTCATTTTAAGATTATTTTTTTAGAAAGAATTCAAATGGTTTCGCGAATAGAATATTATCGTTAATATTAATAATATTATCGTAATATTTGAGCGTATAGTGTGTTCATAAAATACGTCAATATAAACTTTATATTGAAAACTTAATATCAAAGATTAAAAGTAAAATAACGAGAAAAAAATAACATTTTTATTGATTTGTTTTAAGAAAAGATCTTTTATCGATAATATGTTGTTATTAATTTCGGAAATTAATAAAAGTAGTCGATATGCCGACGTTGCAATAAGTTGCCTTATCAGAAGAAAAGTGGATAACAGATCATTATAGGATTAGATGATTTTGCTATCGCAACCAAGCGTTTCGATATCAAGCAGAGTCAAGCAGAATCAGCTTTCTAAAAATTCTTTGATCAATTTATAGAATTGATTTTTTTTATAGAGAAAGCCGAGGAAAATTATTATTTATATTGCTAGTTAATTTTAGATATTACATTTTAAATATAAACGATAAAGTGTATTAAAATTAAATATTTTTTATAATTTATGTAAATTGTCGAGCTCACGATTAAAAAAATACGGACTAAATTGAAATAAGAGTGCATAGAATTCATAATTAAAACATTGTGAAATAGTGCGATATGTGATTATATTTAAGAAAAGATTACATAATCGCTCATTATTGTAACTTTATGTACTTATTTTGCTGGCCAGATAAAAATTTAACAGAAGTAAGCATTATAATGATGGTTGATATATGTTTGAAATATCGCCACGTCTTAAGTATTTATACATATATATCTTATAAATCTATGATAAGATAAGTCCAAGAAAATAATTATTTTGATACACAACACAAATAACTTTTGTAATTCGAAGCATCTATCTTATATTTGATACTGCTTTAATGATGTTTTGTAATAAACATGTGCATATGTTGTATCTAACATCTTTCAGATACTTAATATTAAAAATGATTATAATTATATCTTTCGCACGCGCGGGATGAAATGTCATTTGTAAAAAGTTAAATTATGCGTAGTAGCTACTGTGTAAACGGAATTGTGTAAACTTGATTAATTGATAATAGATATATTTATTTTTGCGTGACTTCATTTATTTCACACTTTCTTACTGATCGATAGTTCACGAGAGGTAAAAGTAAATTTTGGAACTTTATTTCATTTTTTTTTCGCTCTTATGTCAATCAACTTTATTTAATAACTACGACTTTAAAACAATATAAAAAAATACTGATGCTAAACTTGCCAGTTAGTAATATAACAAGTGTATAAAAATGGACGTGGAACATAAAATACTTTACAAAAAAATATATTATTTATTTATTTTTATATGTTATTATATTTATTAGCATTAGGTATATGTTATTACATTTAGCTATAATCTCAGATTTTAAAATTATTTTCTGAATATTATTCTGATATTAATTAAACATATATGATCGATATGAAGATTTTAAAAAACTATTATTTAACACACGATGTAGAATTTAAACAATATAAGAATAGTTATTCATGATCTATGATTGCAGATATAATCTACAGCATAACGCTGATTTTTGATTTTTAGATAAGATACAGATTATTATCGCACTATTTAAAGATTAAGTTCTCTATTATGATTAAATTACACAATCAAAGTCTACTTATCGCGCATTTTATATCTGCATCACATTTTTTGTCTATATACTTCGTTTAACACAAGTTTGGCTTGAAAAAATAAGATTGGTAAAACGAAGCATACATAATATGATACATACATATATACTATATAAGATATTTACATGTATGCAAGATATCGTTATATTCCCATTATTATGACGTAAAGATTCACGTCAATGGTTAATAAAGAAATTCGTATAAAGAAAACAAAAATGTGATAAAACGAGGCAGTCGTAGAGACTCATTGTCAGACATAGTTGTAGATACAGTATATAATCGCTGTTCTAGAAATGAGGATGATTTTTACAAGACCTTATTACTTTTTTAAACGTCGAGATAATCATTATCGGTGCGCAACGTACAATGCAATTTTGCTACTCGATAAATTATGCTTAAGTATTTGTCGAGCAAACAGATAGCCTTTTACTTCTTACTAAAGATAAAGCATTAACAAAACTCCATAGCTTTATACAATATCATAAGCGCCACGTGCGCATTGCATTGGTTGGCAATAAATTACTGCCACTTCAAAGGGAATTATCATTTGCGAAGGAATAATGAAGATCGAACACTTATATTGATAATTGTGACCGCAAGCTCGTCTAAACACCGAATGATGCTTATTACATCTTATTATATAAGGAGATAATAAAGAGAAAATGTAATATTTATACTCATAGTTCGCGATATATTTTTAACGTTCGACAAACGCGGTATTGCAAGCGATTGCTTATAAAAAATATAAATAGCGTAAATTATGTATCGCGACTACAAAGTGAAGCGGTTGAAGTTTTATTGACAACCGAAGTAATTATCGCGAAAGCTGGCGCGCGTAAATTATGCTAAATTTTCAGTCGCAACAGTAATGTATATTATATATGATTTTGTGTTATACGGTCTTGTATTGCGATATGTATATATCTTTTCTGTGTATTTTCTTTCTCATGCGATAATCATTTTTTTTTTTTTCATTTTGATTTATTTCTCGCATAATAATAACGCTATTTTTATTTTTTAATATAAGATTTGAAGATATAAGATTGTAAATATGTGGGAATGCATATAATATCTCTCGAATTTCTGAATATACGGTTTATTTAATAAATAACAAAACTTTTTTAATTACGTACAAAAACGTAAAGGATGTTGATAAACAGGATTATCTGATTTATCTTTATTTGAATTACTTTTGCTATAATTAGAAAGTTTTTGATATATTCAGATTCAGGTCCTTACTTATTAAATCTCTTATTGTCACTATTTTTATGTTTTGTAATACATATATACATATATATAAATTAAATTTCAAGTGTTGATATATGATATTCTTACAGATGTATTTCAATGACTAATTAAGGAAGAGATAACAATTGTTATTTCTTAAAACGCTGAAAGTCTTAAACGATATACATATGTAAGCAACATTTTTATCTTTTAATATCTGAAATACGTTTATTTTCGCGTGTTTATTTTACGACTTTATAGGTTCTCATCGTAAATTACGCTTTCGTCGAAACAATAGAATACAGAAACGTGAAAACATAGTAAATTGTTCCCTGGATCGCGATACGTTTAAATTATACTTGAGAGAACTCTCGTAAAATATATTTTTAATAGACTAATAAAATGTTTTTAATAGACTATATAAAATACGCGTTGAGACCAGATCATTTTGTTAGATATAATAAACGACACCACTCAAATAAAAGGCGTTCACTCTGCTCTTTATGAGAGATCTAGCTTTTCCTGCGATATCTACAATTTTATATACATATATTTCGTTCACCTTGCCAATTTTTCCGTGCGAATCAACACAACATATAAAAACCCGATTTCCGTTTATTTAATCAGACTGTCGATAAATATTGATAAATATTGGTATTTGCATGAACCGATTTATGTTATCACTGTCTATTTGCAATAACATAATTATCGCAAGAGTGGAGATCGTTCTTTGAAATTTCACAAACAGTATTACAATATAAACTGACTACTCGAGATTCGTTGCAAATAACTGTTTAATTATTATTGTACAATAGCTCGATACTATTTAGAATTATATAATTTATTATCAAATTATGGTATTTTATTCATGACTCTGAATTTATGAACCAGTCCGATTTTTATTACTTCACTTCATTAAAAAGATGCAATAAGAAATGGAATACAATAAAAATAAGAGAACAAAATAAAATAAAATATATAATTTCTATGTATTTTTATTTTTGAGTTAGATGAACGTATCAGCGCTTAGAAAATTTTTTTAAAAAGAGATTTGATTTATTTGTTGCACTGAACACATTACGACATAATGTTTTTCATATAATATCCATTTCGTCACTAATAACTGAGAGAGAGAATTATCGGGGAAAAAGT